AAAAAACTTGGAAATAAGTTCTTAAAGACACCTTGTATTTTCTCTAATCATTAATTCAGCTATCTTTAAAAGAGCTTGGGGTATTGTCATATAATAATGGGGTATTGCCGCATAACTTTACAATAACGTTTCTGAAGTACAACTCTTAATACAGAACATATTTGCAAAGATGAGGTATCGTCGCGTACAGTTGAAAATTCCAATGCTAGGCTTAAGAGACTCGGAAAGAATTACTGTTATGGAAATTAGACATGAGCTCGCAAAACTAGCCAATGCTGATCAATCAGGCTCAGCTGTAGAGTAATAGCTCTGATTTCTTACCCGTACTATTCTCCACTAACCACTGCACAACAGGCTTCAATGTTACTGGATCACGCAAAAACAATGGTATTTTCCACTGAACATTGCTGCGTTTATGACCAGGTTCATGCTGAAATGGGTTTTGTACTCCAATGTATGTACAAGGCAGAACGCTCTAACCTACCCTGTAAATTTCTTGCGTGACTTGCACTTTCCCATCGGAGCGCTTGCGAACATGTAATAATGGGAACCCTTGCTGATAGATCCATGTTTCGATAACATCAGATAGTGTGAAGTTTTGGCCGCTTAAGTAACCGCCGACTGTTGAGCCGCTATAAACCCTAAAAAGAAGGAATTGGGGGAATATACAGATATATGCACGAGAATGTATTTAATTCCACTAAGAGCCTGCATTCGCAATGCATTATGCATTAATGCTCTACAAAACACGTGTACCAAATTGCTGTTGTGCCGACAGCCGATTTCATGTCGAACTTTATAGCCTTACATTTCGATGCTTCCGTTTTCATTGAATGCCCAAAAACAGATTGCGGTCCTGCTTCCCTATGATATTCAGAAGCGCAGGTACGCACTGGAGTCCATACAGATAACAGAAAACCCACGTTCTCTGTTATCGTCAATTAGACGCTTCCGTCTTTGTCGGGGCCTAGAGATGGATTGTAGTTCTGATCGAGTAGTTCATAATTCCACTAAAGATTTTTCCTAGCAGAACCTTGTCTAGCCACTGGTCAGGTTGCCCAGTGAACATAGGTTATTTACACTCATCACTCACAAAGGGACAAATGGCAGGGGATAACTCGTTATGGATAGCAATCATGTCAGCTATTCATTTCTGGATTTCTAGTGGATTACGTCGTTTCTTCCATACAGATATTTCAACGTCATATGTAAAAATATAAGCATCCGATTTTACAATTAGCTCTTCATATTTCATTCCTATGTCAGCGTTGAGGCTAGATTTCCTCGCTTTTCGTTCGTCATATGCTCCTTGACTCCTCGAGTCTAGCGCCCTGCCAATCTCTCCTATGTAGGCTGTATTGCAACTCAGAAACTTCAACTCATAAACAGCACTCTCCTAACTCTCCAGATGGCTCTTT